CGGCACCCCCTGGGGAACTACCCCCAGGAACTACACCCCCCCCCAACCTCCAGCCCAGACCCTGTGAGAGACCCTCTGGGGAACTACCCCCTGGGGAACACCCCCCCCCCAGGACCAACACACACCCCCACCGCCGCCCAGACCCTGTGAGAGACCCCCTGGGGAACTCCCACAACGATCCCAAAACCCATGAAAGACCCTCTGGGGAACTACCCCCTGGGAAACTACCCTCACCCCGGAACCTGTGAGAGACCCCCAGGAACTACTTCCTGCCATCCCAGAACCCCCCGGGGAACTACCCCATCACCCCGAACCTGTGAGACACCCCCCAGAGATCTCCCACAAACTACCCCAGCCATCCCAGAACCCCCCAGGCCATCCCCCAGGAACTACCCCCCTGCCATTCCCGCCACCCCCAGGAGACCTCTTGGAACCCACCCCAAGCCATCCTAGACTCCTCCCATGAGAGACCCCTACCAACAAAATACCTCCCTCTGGGAGAGACCCCCAAACAGGAGGGGCCCTCCATGAGACTCCATCCCCAATGAGACAGACCCCGAGAACCACGGTCCGAGAAATCAGCCGAGAGAGAAAATCCTCCCCCGACACCCCCAGAGGAGACCCCTGCACATCCCTCCACGAGATTCCCCCTAAAACAGACACACTCAGCTAGGCTGGGCTGTGGCCAGCCCCAGGTCCCTCCCCGGCACACTCAGATGGGCTGCCCTGCCCCAGGCTCCTCCCCTTGCACGCTCAGCCACATGGCCCCTCCCTTGCACACTCAGCCAGGTGGCCCCACCCCAGGGTCTTCACATGCACGCTCAGCCAGGTGGCCCCTTCTCCAGGCTCCTCCCTTGCACGCTCAGCCGGGCCAGTCCCGCCCCAGGCCCCTCACCTTGCACGCTCAGCCGGGCTGTGCTCACCAGGCCCTCAGCGCGGGCTGTCACGGTGCCTGCGTCCCCCAGCTGGCACTGCTGGACGGTCAGGGCGTGGCACAGCCCGTTCCTGGTCACCACCAGCCGCTCGCAGGTGGTGACAGCCTGGCCGTTCAGCTGCCACGTCAGGGCCACGTCATCCGGGGACACCAGGCACTTGAAGGTGGCGTCGTCCCCCTCCAGCACCGTCAGGTTGTGCAGCTCCGAGATGATCTCCACCACCCTGGGCACTGGGGCCAGAGCGGGTGAGAGGGGGGGCTCCCACTGGGCCTCCGCGCCCGTCTCCCCCTGCATCCTGCTCGCCCCCCTCCCCCGCACCCTGCTCGCCCCCCCTCCCCTACACCCTGCTCAGAGCAGTTGGGTGAAGAGCACCCCAGGCAAGATGCTGGTGCTGGGAGGAGCTCATGCCCCCCTCCCCCGGCGCATGGCACCCACCTGGGATTGGTACGTCCCTCCCTGGACCCAGAAAGCCAAGGCCACAAAATCCCCCCTACCCCGGCCGATGCAACTGGGCTGTCAGTGCACCCCCCCTCCCATGGGGCAGAGCCCCCCATGGGGACCCGCCTGCGTCACGTCAGCTCAGGGATTGCAGCGCACTCTGTGGGGGGTCAGGCCACTGGGCTCGGCCAGGTCTTGAGAGGGGGGTTGGGTCACAGAGGCTGGGTCTGTGCGGGAGTGGGAAGGTCCCTGGAGCTGGGCTGGTCTAGAGGGATCAGGGCCCCAGTGCCTGGGCTGAGCCCTAAGGGCTGGGTTGGGTCTCAGGAGATCAGGTCCCTGGAGCTGGGCTGGGCTGGGCTGGAGGGTCAGGGCCCTGGGGCTGAGGGCTGGGCTGGGGGGGTCAGGGCCCCGGGGTTGAAGGCTTGGCTGGGGGGTCAGGGCCCTGGGGCTGAGGGCTGGGCTGGGGGGGTCAAGGCCCCGGGGCCTGAGGGTTGGGCTGGGGGGGTCAGGGCCCCGGGGCTGAAGGCTGGGCCCCAGGGGGATCAAGTCCCTGGAGCAGGGCCCCGTGGCCCCGTGACTCACCCTGCACAGTCACCGTTGCCAGCGTCCGGTCATCCTTGGACTCGCAGGAATACTCGCCAGCGTCCTCAGGCCCCACGTTGCTCAGCGCCAGGGAGCGCTCCCGCCCCTCTGCCTTGATCTCCCACCTGCCGCTGGGCTCCAGTTCCTGCCCATCCTTCAGCCACACCACCTGCCCCCTGGCCTTGCACAGCTCGCACCACAGCAGCACCGTCTCGCCCACGTGTGCTTGCACGTCCGACAAGCCTCGCACAAATTTCACCTGCAGCTCTGGGAACATGAGCAGAGGCCAGTCGGTATCTGTGCCCCTTATGGGGGACCCAACCTGCCTCCAGCACCACTGGATCCCCACGGCCATGGGGCGGCTCTGTCCTGCCCCAGCCGCTGCCAGATCCCCTGCTGCAGTCAGTGTCTGCCCTGCTCTGCCCTGGGGCTGCTGGGCTGCCGTCTGCGACCCCCCTCTCCCCCCCGCACCCCGGTGCTGCTGCTCTCACCTTTCACGCTCACTTCAAACTGCATCTGGTCATGGCAGGAGAGGCAGGTGTAGAGGCCGGCGTCGTCCTTGCCCACGTTGGTCAGCACCAGGCTGTGCACCCGGCCCTCTCGCCGTAGCTCGCAGCGCTGCCCTGCTGCCAGGGGCTGCAGGGGCCCCCTCCAGCTCACTGGGGCCTGCTCCTTGGAGACGATGGCTGAGAGCACGGCACTGCCCCCCTCCAGCACCAGCACCTTCTCCGGCTTCTCCTGCTTGTTCACAAAGAGCACTGGAGCCTCTGGGGAGAGAACCATGAGCAGGCGAGCTGGGCGCAGACAGGAGTCAGGTAGGAGCCAGGCAGGGAACTGGGCAGGGAGCCGGGTGCTGGCGGGAGCCGGGCAGGGAACTGGGCAGGGAGCCGGGTGCTGGCGGGAGCCG